TTCTTTGATTGGTTAGGATCTTCAATGTTTTTTTTTTCGTTATCATTCGCCTTCAGTGTTATTAACAACTATAATTTTCATAGAATTGCATATGATAATAGGGGTACCATAACTCAGCAAATAGTCTTTACATTTTATATTTGGATTTGTTCAATTTGCTTCCATTTTCCGAATGCTCTTCTGCTTGCATTCCCATAATATTAATTCCATCGACAAAGAAAACTAATGTGAGTGCTTTGGCATGCAATCTTTATGGAAGAAAATAACAGGAATCCATGATCATCTCTGCTGTAACACTGGCTGAAGTACATATTCCTTGTAAAAGATGTACACAAAAGTTATGAATTTTGTTGTGTTATACATGTAAGCTTATAAGTCTTCTCAATATTTTGTTACAGCATGCAGGGTCCATCATTAGTGCCATCTAAAGAGCCCATCTTGCCCTGTTGAATTGAAATTTTGAAAACTACGAATTGGTAGCGTTTTTTTTCCATATATATTATAAGCATCTTGCAGAACTGATGTATTGTTACTAATTAACCTTCAAATATCATCTATGGCTAAGTGTGTAACTTTTGCTGAATATTTATGTTAATGATTGTCAACTGTGTTTGAATTTCTTGTAATGCTCCTCTCTCACTTTATTTTAATTTATTGTCAAAACACTAATTAATTAGGTATCATTTGTTATGTTGTCTTTTTCCTGGAGATTTCTTAATGTTAATAATGGTCACTAGGTAATATTTCTCAGCCAACAGGAGTCTGGAGATAGCGGAGGTATTTTTTAATGAATCTCTTCAGTTTACCCTGTAATGCTTCCATTTTCTGTCCCTTCTCTATACCTCATATATTTAATTTAGTGTCCATGTATTTTCCTGAATATCTTTAAGAGATAAGTTAACTTGAACAATTTATTAGTTTACATACTTCTTAAAACATTTTACATGCAATACACAGACACATCAATAAAGACTTAAAAATTTGTTCAGTTTGCTTATCCTTGCTTTCTTTCATTATTTATTTATACAAATTCACAACTGAGCTTTGCTTATGTATTGAACTATCATTCTCAAAACTTGAATCAGACAAGTGTACCACTATGAGGAAACTTGGAAGTGGAGAGGACTATATCAATATTGTTATAAAAATACACCCCATTTCAGTACGATCTCCCATTATGAAGTTTTTAATAGGAGATTCAGCAGACTTGTCTAACACTTAATTCTCCACATGGGTTACATAGGTTTAATGAATTGCCTCATTAAATCCTATTGTCCCATATGTCATACAAGGCTCAACCCTAATTAGAGGTGTCTATCCTAGGTCATGGGCCTGTCCTCATAGTCACAGATACAATGAAAAAAATACTTTCATAATGAACATCTTGTCTATAAGATTTAATTGAGCAAGATGGGTGCAAGATGTATTATATTTCATTAGTTACCTTATGAAATTGCAATATATGGAGTAAGATGCTGTATCCAATGTATCTTATCTTGTATTATTGAATTATAATTCCATTATATAATATGATATAATCATATACATGAAATTGTAAACCTTGTATGTTTACAGAACTAGTAACATAAAATAAAAAGGATAATCAAGAAAAACATTTATCTTCAAAGCATATATTTATAAATATAAAATAATTTTACTCATAAGGACTTCCGTAACTGTAATCAAATAAATTTCAAGCCAAGTACATATGCATTATACCTAATGAACACCACACCTGATTGGGCACCAGATATGGATGTCTACCAGTACCACACTGAACCAGACAATAGGCACTGGATGTTACATGGCTACATCCAATGGGATGCTCTACATGCACATCAGCTCCAATAGCCAATGTGCGTGTGGTACTAGCACCAGACTTGCATGTGTGGCATAAGCATGCAACTTGCTGTTAATCCTTTTCCAAGAGAGAGAGAAAAAAAAAAAGAAAAAAAGAAAAAACAACAACATTAACTCCATTGAGTCATCACAATTTCCAATTTATGAACATTAAAAAATACCACACCTAATGTTACTGGTGGAAAATGATAGTGATAATGATAGTGATTATGATAATCTGTCCCACCTTAAATCAAATATTGGTCTGAGGTAACCCATATACACAGTGATGACATAAAATGTCAAAATGGAGAACATTATACATTTTTTTGTTTAGTTTTTTGTATTTGCATTGCAAATTATTCACATTTATTCACATATTCATCATTACATACATATACATATAATGATGATCAAGAAATGCTAATGGCAATATGTACATATGACAATACAAATTATTGTTAATACAATAAATATGTATCACTAATTATAAGTCATTTCAGTAATGATTACAATGACTGATGATAATCATAATAAAAAAATCCGCTAATAATGTTGACAAAGTCTAATAATAATAATCATAAAAAAATACACTACTAATATTGTCAAATCCTCAATTCACATGTCATGACACAGCAGCAGTCATGTTTACTGACTCCCGCCTGGCTGCTGTCCTTGTTGCTGAGTCTGCTGTTGTCCTTGCTGTGTCTGGGTTGTTTGCTGTGTCTGCAGGGCTGATGTCTGTATTCTGACAGGACTCTGCGTGGGTGTCCTCACTGCTACAGACATGGGCTGGCCCTGAAGTGCTGCAGACACCTGTGACAGGATTGCTGGGTTCGTCATCTTGCCAGCCTGCAGTGCCAGAGCCGAGGGGGAGGAACGTTCGCCAGCACTAACACGGATGCCTGAATTGCCTCCAACCACAGAAGACCCAGCAGATACGACCTGGAATAATATTCATATTTTAATATTCTCACTATTTCAATCTGCATCTACATCTTCATTTATGGTTAGCCACATGGAGAGTTCTTACATGCACAACAAATAATAAAAATACACTTATTAGTTTCAGAAAACCCAGTAAAAACTGGAATGATACAATCTGTCTGCCCTACTCAACCAAAAATGTAAAAACAGAAAAATCTATTCTAAGACACTTCTGATAATCAATTTGCTGTGGTGCAAATGTGGTCCATGCACATTACCTGAATGGTCTGCTTTATGGGTTGAGGCTGGTGCTGGTGAGAGGCAACAGTCATAGGAACAAGCTTCGTGCTGTGTGAGGTGGTAATTCCCTGGGCACCAGATGCTGTCACATTTGTCCCTGATACACTTCCTCCTGCTACTGCCTTCCCTACAACTGTGCCACTTACTGTCCCACCCTTCAGAGAAGAAAACATCAAATGAATGTACATGGAACTGCCAATATTTAGATTTTTTTTTTTTTGTATTCATAATCACATCACAAGAATGTTCATGTTTGAAAACTTTTCATATGTTAATCCTTTGGTTTTCTTGTTACTTTGTGTGTAAGTGAAGCATGCAAGTCTGAGAGTGCACACATTTAACATTCATACATTCCTCAGAACAACTGTAATGACTTGTGTTATGCTGAAAATTATATTGTAGTCATAATGTGTTGTATAGAAGGGAGAAAAAAAAAAAAAAAAAAAAAAAAAAAAAAAAAAAAAAAAAAAAAAAAAGCATTTGACATCACTTCCAACCTTACCTGTGTAATATGTTGAATGGTCTGTGGAACCTGTTTAAAGACCTGCTGGATCTGCTGAACAGTGACATGGGACATCTGCTTCTGACTGCCACCTTGCACTATCTGCACTGTGCTTAGACCAGTGCCACCAACAGCTTTCCCACCCAACTGTAGGCCAACAGGACCTTTCACCCCGACCAACGATCGATGCTTAGCTAACAACTGTTGTGGCAAGGAGATATTACGTACAGTCTGTAATGAAATTGCATCTTCAAGTTTAAAACACTAGATCCATAAGCACAATACAATACAGGAGACAAAGGAGTCAGGGTAGTCACATCAGGACTGAAGCCAGCTTTAATGCTTACCATGTTAAAATGATAGAAAAAGAGTTGTTATTGGTAGATAAAGTAATGAAAAGTTTTGGTATTTTGAAAAATACTAAGGAGGATGTATTTGGAGCACATGTCACAGTACAGTGACTAGGAAGGATTGGAAACTGAGATGGTAAAGGGATGCGGAGTAGAATTCTTGTGAAAAAAAAGATTAGGTTACATGCAATAACATTATATTGTAATAATTCATGTTCTGTATATATAAAGTAGGTATTATACTGTCTTTGAATTCCCCACATCTGTTGAAGAAATACTGGATTTTGCACTTCCTTATGTCAAAATGCACTTTGCATAATTATTATGCACAGGGTGCATACAACATATTTCATTAATTATATAAATCATATTAATATTATGAAAATAAGGATACTCGCTGCTTCTCACGAACCTGCTGTGTGGTGTTAGCCTTTGCTACTGTGGCAGCAGTTGTCACTCGGGCTTGAGGGAGTGTTACATTTATAGCTGAAGCAGGAAGAGTCACTGATGTGGGTGTGTGCACTAAGGTGGATGGAGCACTGACAGTCTTCACAAGTGTGGCTACAGGGGTGCCTCCTCCACTCGCCCCACCTTGCACCTGAAGACCTGCTAGTAACTGTGCTGATGGTACCTGCACCTTCAATTGAGAAAACATCCAGTCAAAAAAATAAAAAATAAAAAATCTCATTTTTAACCCATTGGATCCTGGTGACATGACCATCACGTCATGGAAAAATATGCCTGAGGCCTTGGGTGACAGGAATGTTTGGTCATGAAAAATTTGGTTGAAGACCGGGGTCATGAGAATAACTTGCCACGAGGTCACAAAGCTCTAGGAGGAAGATTAGACTCTTTGGGTATTTAGACAGGAGCTCTAACATTATTTCCACTGGTAAAAGAGGGTTAAATGCACCTGTTCCAAGGACACTTGGCCCACTGTCACTGGCAGGGCATGGTGTGTTAAAGGAAATTTGAATAATCTAATACAAAATTATTTAGTATCCACACAAATAACCGATACAACATATCTGACGATGATAAATATAAACCTTTGAAAAAGGCAAAAAATGCTTATGAAGAAAAGGAGATACTGCATATGAGTGTTTTTATATGGCCTAAGCTTAAGCCTAATGCCCAGAGTTTGCCACATGCAGGCTGTGAGGCACCCAGATCCAATGGGTTAAGGGGGTTTCTGGATAAAACATAAAAAAATACTAATATCAAAGAAAAAAAAAGGGAAATTATTATACATTTTTCCAGAGATGAAGCACTTAATCAAAATTAACCAATTTTTGAAGTAATTATGATGATCACCTCCTCCTTCGTGAACTCAACTCAATCCAATGTGTATTTATCAGCATCATATATTTGCTATAAATTACAATAAAATTTATTGAAAGTACCTCAAAGATTATTATTAATATTATTATTATTATCATCACCATTACTATTATTTATTTATTTATTTATTTTATTATTATTGGGGGGGAGGGCTGAATATAAAAATGTTTTTTAAAAAGAAATAAAGAAAGATTTATTGTGCACACAGGGGTAGGATCAAAAAAGATAATCGTGCACTTCCCAAGTGAATGCATGATGTAATCTCAAATGGCCTTTCAGTACTGAGACATAAATAAAAATCTATATAAATCATAAAGGGATAATTACCTGAGTCACTTGGCCAGACTTATTAAGCTGTTGTTGCTTGATGAAGGCAGCAACTTCCCGGTCGGTCACAGTTCGTGTCACGGCTTTTCCTGTCGTCACAACACCACTGGCACCAGCCACAACTGTCCCAGGTTTCACTAGCTGTGTCCGTCCAGCTTGACTCACCTGTTTTAAAGTGATTAAATACTTTAATCCCGAAGTGCACATCAAAGACATTGCTTCTATATTCTTTAAAAATGTTATGGCTTCAGAAATTTTGAAAATGAGATTTACCACTCCAATCAAAGTCCTTAGTCCTTCTGCCTTACCTGTATAGCTGTCATACCAGCCAAGGTCCCTCCAGATACAGCAACTTGTACCTTTTGAGTTGTTGTTCCAGCCTGTCCTGCAATCTGTGTATATGAAAAGAAAAGTACATTAGTTTACGAACCTACATACAAAATGAATTTACGTCCAACTTTCAGAAGTTGCTATCTGCTTTCCGAGCATTTCTTTAAAATATAAAAACAACCACAATAATAACACATTAAATAACTTTTGCTTCAGAATCCATTACACCCTGTTTTATTAATTTGTTATACTTATCTTTAACAATTGTGAAACAAGAATGAAAGATTTTGTGAAAACTTCTTTGAAGGAACTGGGAGAATAATGAATGGGAAAAGTATAAGTTATCAAAAATTCTTTTCTGTACTTGTATGTTAATATGTGAATAATACAAGAACAAAGAACTTTTTTGTCTAGTTCATAAAAGAGTTATTGTTGTAGCTAGTAAACAAAGGCTATTTCAGCTATCTGATGTTTACCGATTAGGCTGATCATTTGCATACCAAAATTAAACTGTACCTGGACTCGTTTGATGGCCTGGTCTCCAGTAGTTACTACCTTTCCTTGCTGCTGCAAAGCCAAAGCATGCCTAGCATGGGCTTGCTGTTTCAGGTACTGCAGTTGTGCTGGAGTAAGAGATCGTGAGACCCCTGTTAAACCTGTTGATATAGGGAAATAAAGAAACCAATATTATTTTCAACAAAGAGGCATACCTGTAAAAATATCATTCAAAATTACAATTAGCATAACCATCAGAAAATCATAACAGTACATATAGTATGTCACAAGAAAACGATCAAGAAATAATTATTCTACATTCTACTCTCACAAAAAGTACAAAGTATACCTTTCTGTGTGGATGACTGAGAGGAGAGTTTTGCTGTCTGTAACTGTGCTTGGGTCAAGCCAGCCACACTGACAACTGTGCCTTGGTTACTTCCTGAGGTACGAACTTGGAGTTCTTGCAGAGTAAGTGTTGTTCTGCCAGTGTTAGCACCTGAAGTTCCAACAGCAGTGCGCACACCACTTAAAATGGCAGCTGCTGCTGAAGACGTTACAGCTGTGGTGGTGATTCCTGTCGTAGCAGCTGTCACTGTGGCCACAGTCATGGCTGTGCCCTGGCTGAGGACTACTGAAGAGGCAGCCTTGCTAGCCAGGCCACTGCTAACCACCTGCTGCACACCACTGCTTCCCACCACTGACACTTGCTGCTGGATCTGCTGCTGCCCCAACTGCTGGCTCTGGGACTGTGCTGTTTGTTGCTGAACTGGACTTTGCTGGTTCTGTTGCTGTTGCAGCTGCTGTTGCAGTTGATTTGCAGTAAGCTGTGCTTGTAAGTTTTGTTGCTGTTGCTGTTGTTGCTGCTGCTGCTGCTGTTGTTGTTGCTGCTGTTGTTGCTGCTGCTGCTGCAACTGTTGGTGTAATATTTTCTGTTGCTGTGCAAGTTCCTGGGCTGCCTGCGTTTTCTGCTTTGCACGCTGAATGCGCTCAGCAAGATTAGCTGCAACCTGGCCAGGGTTTAGAGGCCCATCATACTGAATTCCTGATTCAGCCAGCACTTGAGCATGCTTGGGATTCTTGTGTGTG